AAGGTATATTGGAAATATTTTAATAAGATATATAGAAAATTGGTATTTTTCAACTGCAAGTATTTTCTCTCTTTTAACATATCTTTGTATTACTGACTCTAATATATGATTTGCCTATATATGTTATGTTATAAAACTAGTAAGATTTCTTTATTATATACTCTAGAGGAAAACATAACCATACCAATTTTGCATGTCAATCAAAACATCCAACAATAAATCAATCTAGAATAAGTTATTCTGGGAACTTTTCTTGTATTATCAAATTAATCTAGCATTATTCATCTAGAGTTAACACATACTTCATTCATGTAGGATCAGTTATTCTTGAATTGATATGAAATCAATTCATCTCTTAATTTATTTAGAATCTGTATGCTTAAGGAAGAAATTAATCTGGAAGTCATCTAGAATCCATTCATCTAGAATTAATTTAATCTATAAATACATAGAACCAATCTGTCTCTCTAGAATCTATTTCTTTAGAATCTATCTGTAGCAAATTTGATACCTAGTATCAAATGTATCTAGAATTATGTTAAAATCTATTCATTTGCTGTCAAATTTACCTAGGAAAAAATCTAGATTTAAATCTAAAAATTATTTAAAATCAATTCATCTGGTCAAATTAATATTACATTAATCTAGAGTCAGTTAATGTAGAATCAGTTTGTCTTGACTCAATTCACCTAGAGTTGTTCTAGGATTAATTGACCTAGTATCAATTCATCTGGTGTCAGTTAATCTAGGCTAATTTAGGATCAACTAATCTAAAATCATTTATCTAGAATTTATCTAGATTCAATACACAAGGAACCAAGTTAATCTAGAATTAACTTAGAATTCATTCATTAAATACAAAATTAATCTAAAATTGAATTGATGTAGAATTAAACCATTTTAATATTAACCTAGGGATTAATCTAGAAGCAATTACTCTAGAATAAAATTATTCTAGAATTAATCTTGAATCAACTGATCTAGAATCAGTTTATCTACAGTTAATTTAACATCAGTGAATCTGGAATTAATTTAATCTAGGCTTTACTTGAACTAGAATTGATTCATCTAAAATAAATAAATGGAAAGCAAGCCATAATACATTTAAAATCAACTTAATGTAGAACTAATCTAGAATAAATTTATTTAAAGTTAATTCTTCTTGATCTCAATTCAAATTAATCTAGAAGTCATCTAGAGTCAATCTAGAATCAGTTCATAGAGAATCAATTACTTTATAATTAAATTAGCCCAAAATAATTTAAGATCAATTAATCTAGAACTTTTTTAGAATTAAATAATCTAGAAACAAAGTTATCTAGAATAAATTTTGCCTCAGGTAATGTAGATCAGTTAAACTAGTTTCAGTTATTCTAGATCCAAATTAACCAAGAATTAATCATTTGCAATTAATCTAGAATAAATTGATCCTTAAGAAATTTATTTAGAATCAATTATTGTAGGATTAATTGAGAATTTAGCTAGGGTCAATTTATTTAGATTCAATCCATATATTATCAATATATCTAGCATGAAATAAGCTTAGAATTAATCCATTAGAATAAATTTATAATCCATCTTCACTCAGTTAATCTAGAAGCAATTTATCTAGGATTACTTCATGTAGAGCTATTTCATCTAGAACCAATGCAGCTAAAATTCAATTAAACTTGAATAGAATTTATCTAGAATTATTTGTTACATAATTCATTAATCTATAATTCAACCTAGAGCTTAATCTAGAATAAAATTAATCTAGAGTTTATCAAAAATAATTTGCTCCAGAATCTATAAATTTAGAACCAATTATTCAACAGTTAATCTACATTCATCTAGAATAAATTCATCTAGAATCTATCCAGAATCAGTTAGTCTAAAAATCAGTTAGTCATCTGAAATCCAATTCATCTATGATTAGTTAAGGTCTAAATTTTAGCCTAGAAATTATGTAGATCTAAATTTAAAAGGCATTTAGAAAACACATAATGATGCTACTTCTCAATATCTCTAACAAAATTCAAAGGCAGGCAATAATCCCAAATTCATCCCTAGAATAGCAAGATTTATCCTGCTACCAAAACTAGAGAAGTATTCACCAAAAGAAGAGAACTACGGAAAATATCTCTAATAAAAATAGATGAAAATTCATCAGTAAATTTCTGGCAAATAATACAACATATCATTAAGAAGATTATACGCCATGACCAAGTAGGATGTATCCCAAAAATGCACAATGAGTCCAATATATGCAAATCAATAAATGCAATACATCGTACAAACACAACCATGGACAAAAGTCACTTGATCATCTCAATAGACGTATACAACTCACTTGACAAAGTCCAGTACCCATTTATGATAAATCACTCTGCAGAGTATTAGAATATATGATCCTATCTCAATCTGATAAAAGCCAATTATGACAGACCAGATGCCAACATCATATTAAATGTATAGAAAACTGAAATATTTCACGTAAAAATCAAGAAAAAGACAAGGATATTCACTGTCACAACTCTTATTCAATATAATGTAGAAAGATTAATCAGAGCATATAGACAAGAGAAAAATAAAAGAAATAAGGGTAGAAGAGGAAGAAGTTAAATTATAATTATTTGCAGATAACAATACTCTAAATGGAAGATCTCAAAAACTTACTAGGACTCTTGACAAGTTCTAGATTCTTTATCTGCTGAATTCATCTGAGGTATGTACAAAAATAAAGAATAGTCCTCATTGGCTTTCTCCCCAGTGAAGACTGTGGGCAACTAGTGCAAGTGACCCTTGTCTTCAGCTCCTTGGGTTGTTAAAATTGTCATGACTATTTTGTCATCCATTTTCCTGGGGTGGATTATTTTCAGCCTTTACTCTGTACCAGTTGTGATGAAACTTTTAGAAATCAAATGCTAAACTGCAACCATACCCACTTATTTATCACAAAGTGAAAATATTGCAATTAAACCTGAATACTGAGGTTTTAGTTTAGAAAAAAAAAAGAAAAACAAAATTTGTACATCAACATCTTTTATCTTAAAAAGAAACAAACTGAAATAACATGCATGATATTATGTTAATCATGACTGTTCTAGATCTTCATATAGACTTTTAGTACTTCTTGGGCACTGTATTCACCACTTACTTATCTCAACACACTCTATTTGTCACAAGATCACCACTACCTATGTCTGTAGCAATTCTGTACATGCTTTACCTCATTTCATGAGTATTTTTTGGTTTACAAACAGAAGTGTTTGACAAAATTTTGTTTTTGTTTGCAAATTGCATCAGCTGGCAAACATGACTGTAACCATTTTCCCCACACAAACACAAATGACCATTTTTTTCCAAAATCACAGAAAAATTAAGTTTGTGAACCAAGTTACCAATTTAGATTGGCAAGAATACTAGCTGATAGAATTTTTGGTGTGGCTAAAAAGATACGAAATATGAAATAAAAGTGGCTTTTATTTTAAGAATGTGAAGAGAGACTCCATGACCTCCAGGGTCTGACTTTCTCTCTGCTAGACACGTGGTGCAGGAGACATATATATAGCTTAGGTTTGGTGTGGTGTCTAAGGGGCATTACTGATGCACAGGTAGCCCATTGGAATTTATTTCACACCACAGGTAAATTGCCTAGAGGTGTGAAGGTGACCTCAAGATAGAGCACTTTGGTTTCACCTCCCAGCCTCCCACTGCTGCAGCTTCCCATTCAGGGCAAAATCCTTTCACTAGCCACCCGTGTCTAGAGCCTGTGAAGGAATAATTATAGGATCAGTGCTGATATGTGCTATCATCCCATCAATACTTTGAAGAGTGGTCAATACATTGCTCTGTTTAGGTCTGCACCCCAGATCTTGACAATCTGTAAGGCTCCTTTTAGTTGATTTGATGTCGCCCCCTCATACTAGATAATTCTATGTCTTTCTGATCCTTCATGAGGATTTGAGCATAATCACATGCAACTATTTTTGTCTCAATCTTCCCAAGTGTGATAGGAAGACAGCTCTGTAGAATTTACTATATTTTGAGTTCCTTTAATCTTCATTCAAGTCCTTCCCTTGAAAATGGAAATGTTTAGAACATGATATTTCTTCAAACCAAAGACTTTATTACAGTCTAGTAAAAAATGCCCCCCCACAAGCCAGTATACTTCATTTGCCTAGGTAACAGTTCTTTTTTTTTTTTTTTATTTAAGAGGAAAAAGAGAAAAACACAAAACAAACCAAAGCGGCGTAAGGGTACACGCAATACAGAACTACAAAACAAAACAAAACAAAACAAAAAACCATAACAGTAAGAAATTACCTGCTAGTAGATTACACACTATTTTCTTGAAAATAGTTCCTCAAATCACAGTATCAAAGAACACAAGGTGGACATTCAAACAGGGAGACTGCAAACAGCTGTGTTCAATGTTCCAAAAACATTGATAAAGTCAGCTATTTAACACCCCCAAACACACTTGCTGTTATATCCGTTAGAGCTCCTTTTCTTTTTTTTTTTTCCCTCTCTTTTTTACAACAAAATTTACACATCTTGGATTTTATTACTCCTTAGTGCTTATTACTTTCTTTGGGGGGGGGGGGGAAGAATACAGTCAAATATGGCAAAATAAAGCTGTCAGTCAATACCAAGGATAGACGTAGCACATGGTGTAGAACAGAGTACAAGTTTATCAACAATGGTTATCAACGTTGTCCCTTGTTTCCTTAAAAAGAATTGTCTATCTTATTAGATATTATAAAGTTGGACAAAACAGTAGAGAACAAGACCAATAAAACTTAGGCGTTGTAAACATTACAGGACTTCCAAAGAAGACAATAGTCAAACCAGAATGGGTATCTTAGTGAATCTTATTGTCTTCAAAGTAAAAAAGTTGTGGTATTTCTATACAATGGAGTATTATTCAGCTATAAAGAAGGATCACATTGAGATATTTATCAATAAATGGGCACAGCTTGAGACCATACTCATAAGTGAAATAAATCAATCTCGCATGGGTAACAGTTCTTTTTACAGTTCCTGTTACTACTGTTTCTCAGACACAGCTGGTCACTTAGATATATAGTTGGTCACTATAATGCATGTTGTAATAACTAATCAAAGTCAACTATTCTGCCTCTGTATCTCCCATTTGCAATCCACCAAAAGCCTCCCCCTCTGAGGCTCTGAGGTCTGAAATTTTTATAAGGATTGATTCTTTGTCAGTGTCCATCCAGTGTTCCAAATCCTGGATGCCATTTCAGTGTTCCTGTTGTCATAGAATCAGTACATTTGTTGAGCAGAAAATGAGCAGATACCATGGGTTGACTGCCAAAGGCTTCCCTAGATGATAGTAGGACAAAGCAAGGCACCTTCAGATCCCATCTTTTGAAAAGACTGTTGCTCTATGTCCTCATCTAGTGTTTTTGCGTTGGATGCCGATTGACATTCAGTCTTGACCTTGTGATGACTATTGTACTCCTACAAGTAAAAGGTCTCATTTCCCTGAAAGAATTGAGAAGGGGATGAGACATCACACCAATCCAGTAAAATCTGGCTTTCCAATGTCCCAGGCAAAGATCTCTTGTTGGAGACCACTACAAAGCAGTTCTGAGCAGGATTTAAATTTTACTAATTGGCTTTTTGTGTTTATTTGTGAGTCTGTCCTAGGCCAAGGCCCCTTGCCTGGTGATGGGAGCCGATTCATAGAAAGTGAACCGCTATGAATCACTGGTCCTGGATGAGGCCTGTAGTGGCCTGTGAGGCCAGAGATACCTCAAAGGGCAAGATAAGGCCACAGCTGTGAACACTCTGGCTCCAACACCAATTAACAAGGTAGAGACTGCAGCTGCAAAGATGACTCCTACAGTCTCACTTCTACCATGTCTTCATGATAAGACAGTGCTATTGAACTGACTTGATTCATTACTTGGAGATGTCCTTGAAGTGACTCCCAAGGTCTCTCTCATTGCCTGCATTTCCCTCAGTTTCTCTGCTCTTTGTCCTTGGTCCTAATATAGTGGACTGACCCAGAAAATCCTTTGTCTTTATCCTCAAAGCTTCAAGCTTAATTAAAGGATTTTGACCCTCCTGGAGCCCTACAAATCATACAATTTCTCACTTTATTTAACCTGCACCATACACTTGTTTGGGAGATCAGGGATCTAGGACAGAACCCGATAATCTCTGAGAAAATTCTGTGTTGGAATAGGTGGATCCTACAGATCTTTTTCAGGGTCCTGACATTGATTTTGATAGGCCTTGAGACTCCTATTTTAGTGACCTGATGTAACATGGGAAGGTACTTGGAAAAACACTCTACCCCTTGAAAGCCCAAGAAGGAAAAAAGGATCTCTAATTGAGATATCATGGGCTGGTAGCAGGAATGGATCTTCTTAGGTCCCCTATTCCCTTGAGTAGGTGATATCTTCAGTCTTTGTCCTCGCCTGACCTTGCAGATCTCCTTGTACACTTATGTTACATTGATCTGAGATTGCTATTCAAACCAAGACAGTCCCTTGCAGCTCAGAGAATAGAAATTCTGACCGTTTGTGCCTTGACATTCCAAAACCTTAAGGAAGACTCAGAATGCAATTTATGAGGGTCCTAACTGCACAGAAATAGATGGTCCCTTAGTCTTCACTCGGTGTCTGCACAGTGGCTCATACCCTTGCATGAAACTCCTTCTCTCAGCCCGATATCCACTATTATTCTAAAGATGGACCTTTCTAAAGGAACTAAGGGAATGATTAATACGTATACCTATCATCCCACAGCAGACCCCATCAGTGGATATAGTGAGTGACCCTGTGTTATGAGGTGGATAGTTTTCTCACTCGTAATTCTGAGTACTTACCTTTAATCCTTCCAGCACATGGAAATCCTCTGTCTAATGATATGGCTTCATTGCTTCAGTCAAAAGCTTATATTTTCTTAAGAAAAAAAAAAAAGAAAAACCAGAATGACATGAAGTTATCTGACCTGTGTGTCTCCATCCCAGGTTCTTGCTCAAGTTGACCAAAGTGTTAGAGTAGAGGTAGAAACTATACCAAAGTTTGTGGACAAGATAGTCCTCTATCAGGTTCCTTGAAGCCTCACATGGTCTGGTATTTATCCATCTGGTCTGAATTTACCATCTCATGATAAAATTCCCTTCCCTATAAATATCATGTTATAGTGAGTGGTTGTTTGCAATTGGGACATCCTAAAAGTTTTTCATGATCTATGAGACCACACATGTTTGCATGGTTTGTTTTTCTTTCATTAATGTTTTTATGGCACCTGTCAAAAAAAATAGGCATTTCTTTTGCTGAACTGACATGACTTACTCATTTTTTTTAACAAAACCTTCACTTCCCTGAAATGTTTGAAGGAAATGAGTTTTTCTCATTCTGATATCACTTTTATAGGCCTCCCAAACTGACAGCAAAGAAGAACTTTTGGGTTTTCTTCTCCTGTATTTATTAGTCCTAATATCATTACATTGTGTCTCAGATTTGCAAGTTTTTGTTATTAATTAATTAATTTATTAATATTGAGAATCAAACTCAGAACCTTGTGCTTACCAGGCAGGCACTGTGCCGCTGAGGTTCATCCCCAGGTCTGTCACCTCTTTCTTGAAGAGTCATCTTTCAGTCAAAATCCCATCTGTCTTAGACAGACTAGAAAGGTCTTTTGATGCACCCTAAACACAGAATATGCACAATAGACAATAGGTGCGAGGCACTGTCATGCTACCTCTCTGTAAAGACAAGAGTTCTTACCTGGACCCCTGTAGGCCCTCAGAGGCTGAATTCCTTTTCCAAAAGACATGATACTGCTTGTATAAGGCTAAAGTTTCTTCTCTAGGCTACTGTCTGTATCTTAAAACTCCAAATATTGACAGATGGATTGAAGCTCAGGAGACTCACCGCAGTTCTTCAATGATAAACATGTCACTCAAGAATACCACCAACTCCCGAATGGAGATTGAACAGAGTCCCCAGTTTGCAGTCAGCTATGGCCCCATTTTTTTTTTTTTTTTTTTTTTTTTGGTGAGTACGGCATTGCAAAAATGTGCAGGGTAGGCTCAAATTTTCAATCTTCTTGCCACAGCCTCCCAGAGTTCTGGGATGACAGGGCAACAATGTCCTTTGCAAATCACAGAAAGACACCATCTGCAGTAAGGGATTTGAACACAGCCAGAGACTTCACACTGAGATGCACTGAGAGACATTTTATATATATTTTTTCTTCGTTGTTCTTCTTTTTCTTTTTGAATTTTTTTTTTTGGAGAGAGGGTATTGCTATGATTTCTGACTCATTATGTAGCCCAGTATGGTTGCAAACCTCACAGTGATCTTCCTGCTCTAGCCTCCTGAACACTGGTATTACATGCATGTGCCACCACAAATGGCCTTAAAAACAAATTTTATGTTGAGTTGGGTTCTCTAAATCTTGACAAGACTGGGCTTCAAACTGCTTCCTCTTCTCTTAGCCTTCCAGTGAAGGGAATACAGGCATGTGCCACCAGTTTTTGTTTTGTTTTTTGCTGCTGTTGTTGTTGTTCTATTCGTTTATTTTGGTAATGGGTTTTTTTTTTTTTTTACAATTTTTTATTTTGAAAAAGATTAAGATAAAAGAGGATGTAACAATACAGGCCAGAACAGAACAATTTAAGTAACATAGTGTTTCACCACAAGATAACCCGACATAGCAGTAGTTACTGTAGTGTCTCTTTCCATGAAATATTTGAGTATACCTTCATACACTATAGCATCAAACATAACAAGTCAGTATAAAACCATTCAAGAGAATGAAAGTATTACAGGGTATTCAGAACCAACTAACAGAAAACAAACAATGGTTTCTATATTATCTCCTTGTCCATAAAAAATTTTGTTTATACTATCATATATAATAAAATCCAATAAGATGCAGCATGATAAAACTGATGGAGACAGAAGAACAAAAGCTTGGTAAGACTTCAAAACAAAATGATATTAAATCAGCACTAGCTATTATAATGTCTGTTTTGTTTTCTTCAAAATAGCTGTTCATACCATCACAGACAATAAAATCAAACTACCCAGAATAAAACCATTCCAACTAATGAATGAAAACATTATAAGACTTCAAAGCAATATAATGGGGAACCATGATTACCATAAAATCTTATGTACTCTTACCATTTCTTACACTAGGGAAACTATTTGGTATTTATACACATCAGCTTGATTTATTTTGCTTATGAGTATGGTCTCAAGCTGCATTCATTTATTTATAAATATCTCAATGAGATCATTCTTTATAGCTGAGTAGTACTCCACTGTATAAAAATATCACAACTTTTTTATCCATTCCTCAGTTGATGGACAGTTAGGTTGTTTCCAAGATCTGGCAATTACACATTGTGCTACTATAAACATGAATGCACATATATCACTGTGGTGTGATGTTTTCAGTTCTTCTAGGAATATGCCTAGAAGTGGAATAGCTGGGTCAAATGAAACCTTCCAATCCCAGCTTTTTGAGAAATCTCCAGATTGACCTTCACAATGGTTGCACCAGTCTACACTCCCACCAATAGTGCAGGAGAGTTCCTTTTTCCCCACAGCATTTCCAGCATTTGTTGTCGGTAGTTTTCTTGATCCTGACTATTCTTTCCTGACTGGAATCTCAGTGTGGTTTTAATTTGCATTTCTCTAATGACTAATGATGATGAACATTTTTCATGCATTTATTTGCCATTTGTATTTCTTCATCTGAGAACTATGTATTCATCTCAGATGCCCATTTTTGAACTATGTCTTTGAATTTTGGGGGTCTGATTTTTTAAAAAATTCTTTATACATTTTAGACAAAAGTACTTTGAGGGATAGTACACTAAGATTTTTTCCCACTTTGTGGGTTTCCTTTTCCCTGTGCTGGAGATTTTTTTTGACATGCAGAAACTTTTTAATAAGAGGTGATCCTAGTTATTGATTCTGGGAAGTATTTCCAATGCAGTTTGATTCCTGTTTATGCATTCTCTACCTACCCCTATGTCTTCAAGTTTTTTACCCAATTTGTCTTCCAATAGATTTAGTATTTCTGTTTTAATATTCAGATCTTTGATTCATTTAGATTTTAATTTAGTACATGGTGATAGGCATGGTTCTAGTTTTAGTTTTCAGCATATGGAAAGCCAGTTTTTCCAACACCATTTATTGAAGAGACTGTCCTTCCAGTGAACATGTTTGGCCCCTTTATCAAAGATAAGGTGGTTGAGTGTGTTTGTCATTGTGGTTGTTTGAATGATCAGTCTTTTAGAATTGTTTCTAAATTTTGGAATAGGTTTTTCCTATTCAATGTATTGAATGCCTAGGTTCAAACATGTGGTACTCTTGTTTAAGCACCCAGGAGTGCTAGGATTAGCTGTTACCACCACTGTGCCTCACCAGGAACTTTTTCTTGAGGAATGGCAGGTCTAAGGATGCCTGCTTCTATAAAACAAGACCTTCACTTCAATCTCTCTAAGAAATAGAAGCATCCAATATGTAGGTTCAGTAAGATTTCCCATTTGGGAGCCTCCCAGAACCAAAATGAAGGGTGAGGTTGCTCTAGACTGTGAAGTTCTCTGTGTACCATTGATAGTGGGGACTTCAATTCTTGTTTAATCTCCCTTACCACCTGCCAGCATCCATGGCAGCCACTTTCATCCTGCTCTGACTAGACCCCCTAGAGCCAAGTCTTGCTTTGTATTAAGTCTCTCACAAGCTCCGCAATCAAGTAGAAGAAAATTAAAAAACACTGCATCCAGGTCACCCTGCTTGAAAACTCCCAGGATTTACTGCAGGGCTGGAACTCTATGAAGAATCTTGAATTCTTTGTTGAAGTTTTTGCTGGTCCTTTCTCAGTGCTGTGTTTTCTCCTATTACTAGGGTAAGGTGGCCCCCCTCATTCCAATGAAATCATTGCCTGAGAATGCCTTAGAATAAGAGTAGATGCTTGGGCTAGAAAGCTTTGCCTGTGGCATTTTCAGATGGAGAGCAGGCTAGGAATAGAAACTGCAAGCTATGTGTAAACCTTTTAATTCTGAAGGTTGGATCTTCAGTCCTTATTCATAGTGATCATCATCTTTGCTCCTTTCCCTTTGATTGTGGCTTCTTAGAAAATACTACCTCCACCTGCTAGGTACCACCTCTTGACTCATCTACTTACTACTACCTTTGTAGGGTTTATATGGGCTCACTCCCACAGGATGGATGTGACATGTCAAATTAATCTGAGTAGGCAGGCGGGGACCAAAAATAGGTCATCAATTATCAAAAAAAAATACCTGCTCATCTGTTCTTCTATTTCACTATCCAGAGTTAGCACCTTAGTCAATTACTTTTATGAATTAATTTTAAAAATATATTTATATTTTTAAGCATTGCTCCATTTCATTTGGGTATTCAAATATAGAGATAAGATATTTATACAAAAACTATTTTGCAGGAAATGTCTGTCATATAATTATGCACAAGATGGTAAAATCATGTATACTTGACACTCAGCATACTAATAATCAGCATTTAAAAGTAGAAACTTGAACAGATTAAATTTTTATTAATGTATTTGTTCCTTGGAAAATATATTCCAGATGTGATAGTTTATACTTCTGTGTTTTTTTGTAAATTTGTTGTCATAGTCAGCTTTCTGTTGTGACAAAATACATGAGATGCACAGCTTATGATGACAAAGTTTTATTTTGTTACTCTTTCTGAGAGTTCTCAGTTTGCAGTCATTTTGTCATTGCTTTTTGGCCTGTTGTGAGATAGTGTATCAAGTGAAAAGAAAGCCAGTAGTTGTAAATTTTCCATCTGTGTTATTTGAGAAGTAAGAGCAGCGATAAAGGGCCTGTGATCCCAATACCACTTAATGACACCCATAAAATTGATCTAACTTCCTTCCCTCTAGACCAGTCTCTTAAAGATTTCTCTATCACTCAATTGCATCATAATCTTTAATAGAAGGATATTTGGGGAGAGACTTATAAAACACAGCATCTGCATAGCATTCTGTTTGGCCATTTTGATATTCTGATTTTAATGATCATTAACTGTTCTCCATTTTGAGATTCAATATAGTAATTTCCTCATTCTGACATTTCTTCTTACTTTATTATCTGCAATTACTCTATAGGAAGAAACTATTTCCTGCCCAATATTTGTTTATCCTAAAATAGTGTGATAACATATTTTTAGTGTTTTCTATAATATACTAAGCTCTCTCAACCCACATTTTATACAGTGTCATTTAAGTAACATTTAATTTTCTTTCTTTCACAATTGATAATGTATAAAATAATCTTAAGTAGACATTTTCTAAGAATTGGCTTTAGTGGGTTAATTTTATTGTCTTTTAACTCACCAATTTTGAGTTTAGCATATTTCAAACCTTCCAGTTTTTAAAGTTTTATGTTCTGTTGTTTCTAGTGTTTTGAAATATTTGCACATTTAAATCATGTACTTTTTTGGTGTAAACATTAGGATAATAAATATATCACTGAGGTCACTTGGTCTGTTTCCCATAACTCCTGCCCTAGAGCACATTCCACATTCTTAGTATGTTTACAACATATGTAAATGTTATTTACTGTAAAAATCATCTTGGAAAAGCTACCACGGGGATGAGAAAGATAAGTTTTTATACAGAATTAAGTTTCATGATGCAGATATATTTTAGTATGTTTGATTTAGTGATTTTTAATGAAGCAGTGATTGATACATTAACTATAGTGACAGAGACAAATTTTGCTTAGGAATTGAAGTAGAAATTAATACACAAGTTAGTTAATATAATTGACCAACTGTAACAGTCACAAATTGTTCCATGACTATTAATGTGTTATTACAAAGTCATTTAAAGCATCTTATTTTTTAGAAAACTGACACAAAAACAAGGGGAATAGTCAGAAGGGCTAGTGCTTACCAACACATGGAAATATTTTCCATATTTAATCTATAGAGGGAAAAGTAGGAAGTAGTGTTACCGAAGCCTAGATTTTGGAGTCATCAGGACTTGGGACATGATAGTTTAATCTGATGTGTGATATAGTCCACAGAAGATGTAATGGTTGAAGCAGAAATTTATTGTTGATGAAAAGAGAAAAAAAACTTCTAGGTATTTCTGTATCCCCAGGATCTTTTCTACTGGTGCGTCTTGGAGTGTTGAAGAATTTAGCATGCAAATATTGGAGAACCAAAGAAGTAATAGTAACTCTTTGAGTGGTAATGGACAGAAAAGAGCAAGTTAAAAGATGAACCTGAGAAAAAGTAGGTCCAAGCCTAGCATATCACAATGACAAATTAAGTGAGAAAAGTCATGCACAAATTGACAGAAGAATATGCTCATAAAGATAACCATATTTTATCAAACTGTATCAGATATACATAGAAAATCTTGTTTGAGTCAAATAATTTTAACATGAAAAATTTGAAACATTTTCATTAACATTTAGAAATAAAGGTGCAGCCTGGCTTGGTGATGCATATCTGTAATTCCAACACACAAGAGACTGGGAAGAAAGATGAC